CATAAATTTATCATTATTATTATAATAATAACTTTGTTTATATTAATAAGTATTGCCAATAGTCTTTATCACACAATTCATAATGGTTGTAGATTAATTATCTGTGCATCATGAGATATTAATTGTACAATGTGTTTGATGTAAAAGAAGTCTTTAAAAATTTTTTTCACTCGCGAGTAGGCGATTGAATATCAGAGTTTGAAATGGGATCAAATGGTGGATCTTTATCTAGCAATTTCATAATTAATAATTATTAATTATTGCACAAAGCATAATCAACTATCAATTTCTAAATATTTAACTATCCATGATGATTATGGGTGCTTTCCTTTTAGGAATACAAAGGAATATTGCGTTACACAATGTGTTGTTCTGTTCACTGCAAATCCAAATGTCTTCATTGAACACATTTCATGCGTATTATTTTAACACCTTTGTGAAATCTTGAGATTTGTAGTGCATATTTAGGCCTAAACGGACCTGAATGGAATTTTTTTTTCCGTTCATATATTATTTCATATATCTATCTTCTAAATGAAATAGAAATACGTTAATTGTAATTTTTTGATTGGTGCATGATTGTGTTTTTAAATAAAACGCTTATGTTGGATACAATGTTACACAGTGTCTCGTTGTGTTCCTAAAAGGAAAGCATTCTATAAATTTTACATTTTTTTCTTTTTTTTTAAGTAAATAAAAAATATGAATAAAAAATATCAAATACATGTAATTGAGTAAGTTATTAAATTTTTTAATAATTTCGTGCTCTAATGCATCAAGATAAAGATTATTGAATTTGTTCCCTCAACATACTCAACGCGTAAAAAATTATATTTTCTTTCTTTTTTTTATTAAGTTCTTTGTTATATCTATAATATTATTTATAAATTTAATTAAATTTAATTTATTTAATATATAATTTGCACTTCTTAAAGAACTAGAGCAACAGCAACTGTATATTGAAGTTATAAATCTTTTTAGATGGTAGCAAATTGTTTCACATCTGAGAACTTAGTGTAGTATGAGATGGTACATACAATAGTTCATGTAGTGTTAGAGCAACTCTTCGTTGTCGTCTTGCGTCCCATACATTTGTGGTTTTCTTTCCAGTTGCTGTGGCTGCTTTCGTGTCTGCAAGAGGGCAATACTGGCAGCCTTGTAGTTGATAGGCCCATACGATCTGTAGTCAACATCCGCATAATCTAGATCCGAAAATTCAGGCTTGAAAGGCTGCGTAAAACAAAAATGGATTAAAGTATTAATTGAGTGTGATAATCAACAGCGTGAATATCACGGATGATTAATTTTATCATTATTTTGTTTTTTAAAAATTTCTATTTGTATCAGTTTTATTTTTTTTTTCTACATCACAGAGTGAAATTTGTACGTTATTGGAATTACCGGAAATAGATTCAATCGACAACTAAATTGATGAGCGACAAATGACCAGTCAACCACATTCATTATGATGCATATATATACCTAATGCTTTGAATTTAAACGGTACGATTTGTGCTGCAAGTGATGATGACAATTGTCATCTGTGCGGCAAGAGGAAAACGTCGTATTGTCACACCAGACGTTCCTCGAGTATTTCGACCAAGAGTAAACAATCATCAATGCAAGCACGTCTTGTTGCGTTCCATTTCTCACACAGTTTGTATCTGCTAGATACATAATCATTAATCATCTAGCTGTTGATGCATATACATATACACACACGCACTATTATATTCTTGATTAGTTTTATTAATGATTACCAAAATTAAAAATCCAATTAAATAAATTAGTTTCGTCATTAATTAATGTGTAATTTAACGTTCAAATGTTATAAAGTGAGCCAAAGGTGCATGATCTTGGTTAACCAATTTCAATTATTTTCAGTTAATCGTTAATTTTTTATATTGACATTATTTATGCATATGAGCTTTTCACACACTTACCTTTTTATATAAAAATACAAGCACACATGATTATCCTAAATGACTATAATGTTTTTTTAAAGTCTATTAAAAAGCAAAACAACTCATTATGTTTAAATTTATATTTTTCAAGAATATCAACAAAGTCATTAAATTTTTAACTTTCTATTAGGAAATTGTTGTAATGGGGACGATTTTTGAAATTCATAATTTTTTTTTCATATCTTTACGTTTTGAAACATTTAAAAACATTTTAAAATGTTTAAAAATTTATTATGTACGTACGTACGTTCAATTGTTCGTGCGGTATATTTCTACGTACGTATGTCCGATTTTATTTTGCTTTCAATGTCTCGAGAACGACTAAATATATCGACTCGTCATAGATAATTTTTAAAAAAATAATGATATGATAAATTATGAATTTCAATGAATATGTACAATGTAAATAAGATTTTTATATAATTGTAACAAAAAAAAAAACATAATTAAAAACAATCAATGGAAATAGGAAGTTCGTCGTGTGGGTACAAAATTTATCTAGATAGATTTTTTTAATTAATATAAATCATCTGACACTCCCTCGAATTTTCATTTTTCAAAAAATTTTTCCATTATCATATCCGGACTGTATGATAGGACATGAAACAAAAAATAATTGGTAGTTATTTTATATTTTACAAGAGCTCTTTTTTTTTTCACTATACCCGTATTTATTTTTATCCATCAATCGAGGGAAAAACAATAATAGGTTAAACAAAAAATAAAATCGAGAGAGCGTAGAACAGATTGACAAAGTGAATATATCTCTACATATATGTGAATAGTATAATGCAATTGACCTGCATACTATAAAGATATTTTTGGAAAAATTCGGTACCTAGGACATCCGGATGTGATGGTGCGTGGAAGATAGATACTCCAACCGGAAGCATTCTCTAGTAAATGTATGTATCGCTTTTCGCTTGTAGCCCACCCTATGAACAAACAGTAGTGTAGAATACAATTGTAGAGCTGTGAACTGTTGTAGCCGATTAATAATAATTGTTCAATGGCCTCCAAAGTTTGCAACGGATGTGAATAGTATATATCATTGTATTACATAACTGACTCATACATTTTGCAATGATCCTTTCCAATTTCATGTGCTCCTTTTATTAATGTAGAAAACTAGTATTAGAATATCAAACACCATTTTTGAGATGTATATGTATGTATCGTGTATAGGCTATTTTAACCATAGTGCAAGAAACAATAGACTACTTGTAGTAGATTGTGGTTGGAGTGGATTAGCTATGGGCTTTTGAACCAACTTACGTCGGAACTCGCTCGGGGCTTCCCCGAAGCTTTACCGTGTATCTAAATCAACATGTGAGTACAGATCTCCGGCTTGCAATAAATGTTATACGGATGCTGTTGAGGCCAAAAAAGGTCAAGCTTGATAGAAAAATAGAGTAGAAGAGAAATGAAAAGTTTCTACGATACATGTTATGTATTATCTATACAGACACACCAACAAAAAAAAAAATATTCTCTTGTAACAAATCAAAAGTCTTTTTTTTCAACAGTTTTAATTTCTCTTGTGTCCACCAAAAAAAATGTTAGATAAATAGAATGAGATTTATTTGCAATTTTTTAATTATTTTAAATTAATTCGCAAATCAAAGTGAGAAACTGCGCTGACTGGAATCTAGGATCAATCAATTGTAATTTATTTTAAATTGAATGTGCATATGCAAAGTGTATTATTAAAAAAATATAAAATACCACTTTGATACTGCTTTTGAAGTAATAATAGAAAACAAAATGTGGGTATTATAAGTGCAAATTGTATTAACCCGTTAAAAAACTTTAATTATTGGAGTCATGGCTTAACTGAGAATAAATTTTGTTATTGTTGTTACATAAAGCATATATTTCTACTTTCTCTCTTGAAGATACCTTCATCCCTGTCTATTGTTCGAAAGAATAGGACTAAAAAGAGAACTTTAAAGTCTCTAAGGTTAAGGATATGATTCAGTACCAATGTCAAAGTCTATGAAACATGAACAATATTATGTTAGAGTGATCAACAAGATAGTGATTTTGATAAAAGAAGTTCTTGCTAATCATAAACTTTAAGAAGTAAATAATTGTTGATTGATAAAATAATTAAAAGAATAGTGATTGATGAAGATGATGAAGTTTGGAGTTAAGAAAATGAAATAAAAACTGGATAATAATAAAAAGTAGTTTTGACATGAAGAAGTCTAATTGAAGCATACCTTTATACATCAATTTCTTGGCCAACATCTCGAAACTGCAATTGGGGATATTGATTAATTGACTGGGTAACTCCTTCAGGTATGGGCGTTATTGTTGAATTGAGAAAGTTATTGTCCACATATGCTCTAGACTCGTTACTTTTAGTGTTCTTAAGAGTTAAATCAGCGTAGTAGTCACTAGTACGTTTTGATATTCGTTGATGATTAACTTGTGTGTAATTTGTTGGACAGTCGGTATTGCCGTCCTCATAATAATGAGGATATGATATCTTGTAGCTTTCTGGAATACCGAGTTCTTGGATCCTACCAAAACTTGTCTCACATGATGATGACAGTGTACAAGTTTCAATTCTACGACCCTCTGAAGAACGTCGATGTTTCGTTTTTCTTTCATTTCGTTCATGTTTTCGATACTTTTTACGCTCATTTCGGCGTTGTGTTGACGATTGACGGCTATTCCGAGATTTATGATCATACGTGAGATCCAAGTCAAGTCGTTCTCCACGAAGCAACGAGAGTGACAGTGATTCGGTGATGTGACCGTTTACGTTACCATCACTGCCACTAACTTCCTTTCGATGAGACTGAATATGTCGCGTGTTGTTAGTATGTATTAGAGAGGTCAACAGAGGACTGACTGCAGAGGCGTGATAAAGGCTTCGCGTTAATGGCAATGTTAGTTGGTTTGAGCTGCTGCTTGGGTAGCTGTATTGCTGAATTTCCTGCTGTTTCTGTTGCTGGTACTTCTGATAATGCTCTTTGTAATCGTACTCGTTCATTTGCTGTAACAAGCATGTTAATTGTTTGGCTTTGTTAAGGAGAATTAATATGAAAATGAAGTGTTAAATCGTTAAAATTGATATTATGTTATAATTACTTAAAGTTAAAGTGCATTACTTTTTTAAAATATCTAAGTAAAGCTCGAGTGACGTAAACTTACGTGATATATGACAAACATGTACAAGAAGAGGGGCAGCCTCGATTTAACTTTGTCACAGATGACAATATGATTTATCCAATTAAAATTGTAAATGTCCAGATTATTTTCTTTCCCTGTTTTCTCAGTCTATTCTCTTTCCTTTCTTTCTCTCTCTTTCTCTTCCTCATTCTTTCATTTAAGATTTTATTTACTTTCTGTATATTATTCTTTTTGAGGATGAATACTGCGTTACGTCTAAATGAAGAGCGTAATTTATATTTCATATAACATTTTTATTAAATAAGCTATTAAATGCGCGCTTGATTTCCCAAACACCGTGACGATTGTTTTGAAACATATTGTTATACTTCGCCATCATAATTATTATCAGGTAATAAAGTTAATGTTAATGATAATAAACATGTTGATAATTTATGCCAGGATGTTTGGTAATAACTTGAATGTAGAAGAGTTTTGATTAAGATAGTTTTAATGTTCGATTTAATTATCTAGATAATTGGTCAATTATCTTCATTTTATTACCAACAGATAATAAAGATTTTTATCTCCAAATATTTCAGAATATTACAAGGGATTTTTTTGGATTAATAGTTATTCCGATAGATAAAAATAAATAAAATATAATAAATCAAAAAAAAACTATCTGATATAAATTACATTTAAATGACTCGTTATAACAATTTTATTGTTTCTTTATGTATAGGTTGGGATGATCTATCTCATCAAAATTCTCCCACTTTGGAAGATGATTTATCGAGTAAATAACAAACCTTGGAATCCATTGGAAAAACAGGGGACGGAACATTTTGGTATATATGTTGAGAAATATCCGTCTTTCTTCTTCTTGGTGCTGGTATTGGTGGTATTTTACTAATTTCAGATTCATTTGATTGCAAATGCGAGTTAGAGGAAGAGAGAGAAGATCTCTTTAGAGTGGAATTAGGAGTAACCTCAGTTGATCTGACTGGAGACGTTGGTTCGATGGTGCTCGTACTTAAGCTTTTGTGTGGACACGTTTTGGTAATTGGTATAGCATAGAGCTGATAGTTACGACGGTTATTGTCGTGTTTACGGCACAGTCTCAAGGAGTAAAATTGAGTGTGTTTGAGTTTCCTTCGTCTTGGCTTAAGTGTATTATATTTCGGCTCTGGTGAATTATTTCTTGGCATATTATTTGGACTATAGTGTGGACCTAGATGACTTCTTGTTGATTCGTAACCGGAACTACCACCACACAGACTGGCTGTTCGGCTCAATGATCGTGAAGGACACGGCGATGTTGTGGCTGAATGCAACGTGCCATGCAAAGCCGAAACTTGAGCAAACTTAGGGGAAGCCGCAGACTAAAACACAAATGTGCAGGCGTGCAACGCCAGCCACTACTGTTACATATATGTTAGTACTAGCTTTGTCATACTTACCTGGAACTTTGCTGTATATTCATCATCAAATGTATTACTTTAAGTACTCAAGTACTTTGGAATTACAATGTGTGTTTAAATTTTAAATATGCTCAATAAAACATCTAGATAAAGTTAGTATGAGTTTTGGTAGAATTCGTTCATTTTTTTTTTTTTAATCATAATAATAATAATTTATTTATTTATGTTGATAATTCAAATACACTGAGAAAATAATTTATTGCGAACGAAAAATATTAATTTTAATTAATAAAATTAAAATTTTAAACAGTAGCAATGAAATATTATGATTTTAATTAAAAATAAATGCAATGTCATTTGTATTTAAACTCATCACAATCTAGAACGATATATCAAAATACATTTCGTTAAATTCAATAAAATAATTTATTCTGAATATTTTAAATTATTTTTATTAATTACATAAATATTTTTTTGTGTAGTAAAATTATTTTTCTGAGTGTATTATTAGATAATAGTTAACTCATACTATCTTTCATTAGCATAAAATGCAAACCAAAAATGTAATTTAGTACTAGGAAATTTTCATGCGATTAAAAGTGTAACCTCACGTTTTGACAATCATCAACTGAATTAGCGAACAGTAAGTAAGATACTCTACTTTCGAATCAACTTAATTTTCTACGTGACGCGAGAGTCCGGATGTCTGACCAATGACAGTGAATAGTGTTTTATGTAAATTAATGTAACGCTGCATGATTAAACCTTCCGTGATGCATATTAATGTCATTAGTTACGTTAATAGTCATCCCAGTGTCTTAATTTCACGTAGATCGTAACAATTTTACTTCATACTTGGAACATGCTTGCAAGTACCATCGGGTCGCATGGATTTACAATGAACGTAAACGAGATTCTCGCGGATTGCGTGTTCAGAATCCAAGATGAATTCAATATCCGTGAGCAAGTGAATTCGAGGGTTGAAATGTCGAGTGAGCCGAGTGCATATCGGAACATAAAACACGACGAGTCTTCATGATAGCAATCGAATTGCGCGTGCGTACATATTCTAATGAAAATTCATCGAATTCAGGAGAGAAAAGTTTGATATATATTTTTGTCTCTTATGTATTGACGTTACTTGAAATTTATTTCTATGAACAACTGAAAAAACTCGGGGCAAAACGGTTTTTTGAATTTTAAAATGATTCATCTACATAATAATGTAATTTAAGAAATACCTATCGATATCTTTTTAATGAATTTTTGAAAAACTAATTGTTAACTTCTAAGAAACATATAAGAATACAAATATTTTCATATCTGTGTAAATTTTTGTATGAACAGCTTAGCAAAATCCATTTTAACTCATTAAGTTACTAAAAATAAAAAATCCCTCTTGCTCCATGAATCCTTTTTGACTTGAGTTCCTCTAAATCCAATAACTATTTATTTCATTTGAATATTAAAAATTACATAAAAGTCTTTAAATTTTACTTTGAATTATTTCTAAAATATTCATCATTAAAATATTATGTAAGATAAAAGTTGGTAATGTTTGATGAATTTAGTTTATTCTGTAAGATTTTAAATATTTCACAACATAATAATTTGTAAGAAAATATTTTCAAAAAGAGTAAAAATACAGTTTTCAGACTGAAAGGTATTAATATAGTCCTACCTTTCTCTGCTTTAACACAAGTTCTAACTATTGTTACGTAAGAAGGGAAAAAAGGGTACGAAAACTTTTCATTTTAACTGTACCACTAGTACTTGTTTGCTCTGTGGTTTTTCTGGTTATGGTATATACACTTGTACGTAAGTATATGTATATATTGCTATATATCTTAAGCTTGCCTCTATCACTCGACAACTCTCCTATTTTCTCTCCTTCTTTTCTTAGTCTCCATAATACGATCATTTTACGGTGACTTTGCTAATGGCACTAGGACCGTCTAAATGTACTCGTACGATCTAGACATTCGGGCTCATTTATCACGCTTTGCTGAATCCACTTGTTACTAGCGCTCGAGAACTCTCGTTACCTTATGCAGAGCTCTATACTCTTCATATATATATAATACCAGAATTTATGTACTCACAGAAAAACTATGCACCAATGAAAGAGACCAATTTTGAACACTAGGATATAATGAAATATTTTATATAGTTATACTCTAGTAGACATTCTTTTTGCATGAATAAAATGATAAAAATGCTGATGGTTGATATTCTGACATTTTAAATTAAAGAATTGAATAACATCATGTGATAAAATGTAATAATTATGGATTTAATATTAATTATAATAATAATAATAATAACATATAAATGATTGAATACTCAAAAAAAATTTTTTTAAATAATTTTACACAGAAAATATAAAATTGAAAACAATAAAAGTAAATTTTCATACATAAAATTGAAATTATCATTATTATTATTTTCTTTTATGTAATAATATATTTATCAGCAATATAATATCTACTAGGGTATAGGAATATATTATTTTTGTAATCGCAAAATATACAGTGTCTCCCAAAAGTTAGTTAAAATAGGCTATGATTCATTTTAAAAAAGATTGTCGTCAATCATATCTTTTTATTCGACATAAACAACACAGTTTTTATTTCAACTCACTGTGTTCTAGAGTACTCGATATGCTAGAAAAAATTTATAGTTGTAAGAACAACACCGCACCCCTAAGATTAACAATCTAATACATCACTTGCTTATAGTTAAGTTAGAATAATTATAGCAGTTATATATAAAAAATTAACTACTCAATTAATTAATCATTGAATTGAAAAAAACTGTTTTTCAATCTTCAGAATTTTATTACTCGCGATGTTATCGGCTGATCAAGTCAAAATTCATACAAGAATCGTAGATTCGTTTTAACTTTAAATTCATTCCTGGGACAACTTAATCGGGTAATTAGTTTTTTTCCTGTACCTTTTTAAAGCGAGATGCCAATCCTTTTTACACCGACATTAGACAGTTGTAACAGTTATCTAGATAATTCGAGTATAATACAGTCACTTAGGCAAAAAAAAGTCGGTCAATCTTAGAATGAGAGATAATAAGCTAGAAACTCGTATACACCTTTATTTTAGCCGTCTAAAAGTTGTCTTAAAAGTATCATAAAATCATAAGGATAGCTGTAACAATAATCTACTTCGGCTATACTTTGGATTGTTTCTGCAACAATAAATTTTTTTCACTATACCCGAATACTTTTGGAAGACACTGTATGTATAATAATAATATATTTTATTTTGGCGCATCGATTTTCCGAGATAAATTTTATTTTCAACATCCAGTATTACTAAAAAATATTGATTTCAATGATTCATGCTAAAATAGCAATTTTTTTTTTAAGCATGACATTTTAAAATGAATAAAAAAAAAAGAGAAAAAAAAATGTTTAATTACCTTGTTAGGCGGTGTTTGAATGCCGTGAAAGGGAAGATTTTCATAGAAAGTTTTAGTTTCGCTTTCAGGCAGTGCCTCGGAAACGCTGTCAATGTGACTATTATTCTTCATTGGATGACCGGGATCTGAAATAAATAAACGACAATTTTTACAAACTAGAATACCAAGAAGAAGTAATGACATATATTCTATCAATTTTCCTTGAGAATAATAATTAAGTAGAAATAGTTATATAAATGACATGATGATATTTTGATATATTTTTGAGTTCATTCTATTTTAGCACTGCATCCAACTAGACAGAATTTAAATGTAAATTTTTCAGATAAAATTTAAATATAATAAAGTCAATTTTGTGATTGTCATATGCATAGACAAGTTGAAAGTAGAAGAGATTTTGAAAAAGGAGTAGGTTTATATTGTTCGGAAGTGTAGTCGGCGAAAATTGGAAACGTGCTGGCATGCGCTCCACTTAGATACTATATTTTTGGTATATACGTACCTGCTCCAGGCTTTTTACGCTTACGAGATGCATTGACGTTGGCGTTGATATTAACGTTACCGCAGTCACCGCCACTGGCGGCATTACGATGTAGTGCAGGAAGTGATGGGGTGGCATGCGACATCCGTTGCCGTGGAACTATTCTTTTGTAAGTCACGGCTGAAGAAATACACAACATCGAGCATTCTCACAACATATAAAGCTCGTTATATTAATAAATACAGAGCAATATGGACATGCCACACAAAAATAAAACGTACCAAGGATGTCTTGACGCCTCAAGCTATAGATAGGCATTCAAACGTGAAAATGTACCAATCTTTTGACTTTTATCTCGTGTCACCTTTAGTATATTCTCTGCTTTTCTTCTTTTCAATTTCCTCTCCGCTTTTACGTTTTACTTTGCCGCTAGCAATTGCGCTTGAATTGCAACAATCTAGCAGTTTTTTTTTCTTCATCTTTTCATTTAAGTTTACAATTCAGAACATAATATTTAAATAGAATTTGACGTCAAGCCAACCTTGGAAACTGTCGATTAATCGGTTAAAAAATTTAATATCTATGAATCAGTTGAGGTTCAATCAAATGTTATTGAACTATTGCATAATAGCAGAATTGACGTTTATAAATACATCATATTTCTATTTCGTTTTTATATAGATTCTCATTCGATTATTAATTATTGGATACTATAAAATTATATTGAGTAGTTGGAATGTAAAATCATCATATAGAATTTATTAGTCTATATACGAATATTTTTTCATTTAGTAATTTTAATAAAAAGCCTATGAGTAACTCGATCTTTTGACCTATCAATCATTTGAAAAAAATATCCAATCAAATAAAATTGACCTTTTGTTTTTTTTTAAATTTTTTCAGTAGTAATTTGTATTTTAATTACACTTTTAATCAATTTTTAAAAAATATTTCATGTACAATTTATTATCATCAAACAAGCGAGACTTTTATAATAAATTTATTTTTTTTCTATCAGAATAAAAACTATTCTTGTTTTTTTTTATAGAATTATATAAAAACAGAAATGTTTTTAGATTTTAAATGATGTTGATGAGCAAATAAAGACATTCAATTTAACCTCAATTTGTGATAAGAAGAAAAATTTACCTGTTTTTTCTCGTGAGATACCGGGGAATGAGTCAGGTTCTTTTAGTTGAGAACTGAATATAGCTCTTAATCTATTAGCTCGTGCAATCATGCCTTCATCATGAACAATAGGAATAGGAGTCTCCATTTGACTGATAGATGTTTTTCCACGTCTAAAGGGTCTAATGGGTAGCCTGACTGTATCGTCTCCTCGCGAATGATATCGATCGTTAGTCTGATGATAGTTTGAGGAGTTTGAATGCATTTGTAGATTCGAACTCGCGTGCATTGGGGTTAATCCAGTGCTCAGACTATGCGTGCGATTAATGTGTACAAGAACTCCTGGTTTTAAAGGCCAACGTGGCGCCTGGTTTGAATGTCGAGACGGGCATAGTCCATGCGAATGAATTGACTCTGTCGGGCTGGGTGGTCCTCCGTCAGGACTGATAATTATGAATGTGTTAAGTTTACTTTATATTACTATCATTATTATTATAATATTAGATATACTGATAAATTTAATTTGTTCAAGCTACATCAAAAAGTTTCAGTTATCTAAATTTGATCTTTGCAGAACTTTATCACGATATTTATAACGAAAAATTGATAAGTTTTATTAAAAAATACTGTTTTATCTTTAGCAGACATTTATAATTAATGCACGTATAAGTGAATACATGATATATATTGTGACTGTTTCGTGTTTTGATTCTCAATACTGATATCAATTTTGTTTAATGTACATTGTTCTGCTTGATTGTCATCGTTAAAAGTCTCTTAGAAAGTAATTTTCACACGTTCTCTCTTTCTCATTCTTTGTATATAACCCTCTTCAAATTTTATGTAATCATGTTTGTAAACACGCAACTTTAAAATTTAAATGCATCTAATAGTATATTGTGGTTAAAAGTGGTTTTGATCCAATGTTTAAATTCAATTTTCCAGTATCTAAATTGGCATCATAAAAATATATGTTATTGTCGAATAAAAAAAATTTTATTTATTCAATTCAATATAAACTAACGTGAAAATAAAAATAATCGTTGCGGTTATGTTGAAATAATTTAAAAAATTCGATTCTTAAATAGATAGGTGATTTTAGGAGTAATGATGTCTTCGTGATAGGAAAACACACAACTTGTTGTATTGACCAAATGTTACCGATCTCTACCGAAGTTCAGTTTCGTAAAAAATAAATAAATAATTTAAAATTTTGATTCATAATAAAATTTTTACAAGAAAAAGTTGTATTGTATACTAATCAAACAATTGCTTATTGCCATTTTTGTACCCGAAGCGACAGACTACTATTTTTTGGAGTAAAATTTACAATTCCTTTCTCTCCATGTACTCATAAAAAATGAATTGCTTTCATTTTAAATAGTTTTGTTTTTTTTCTAACATGCAGCGCTGTCTCGCTTAAATACATTGAGGGACCGAGATGCATAAAAATTATGGAATAAAAAATCGGCACATTTTTGTTTTTGGATTCATATTTTCTGTAAATTATGAGGAGTCTTTTCTTGTTGATTAATAAAAAATGTGCCCACAAATGGAGTGAAGCTTCTTATATTGACAGAACGAGAATTATTCGCCAAATTTCGGTTGACACAATGCGTGGTGTATTTTTCTATCTCGAAAAAATCATAAAAAGAAGAAATAATTAGAATTATTCCCAATAGAACCACCATTTCCAAATGAATATTTTTTAATTCCAAAGCTTGGAAAAAAATAAGATAAATATAGTGATGAAAAACCTAAAATAGGATAGTACCATATAGTTTTTTACATTTACTACCAAAAATTTACATGCAAGGAAAGAAGTATAGAATCAGCGTCAAAGCGAGGATTACTTTGTATCATACAAACTACCAACGAAATGATTGTTGTTTTTTTGTACATTGTTTCGACCGTTGAACCACTGGGATTTTTCATGAACATGTACATAGTGTATGCAATGCAAATTGTAAACGTCCGCCTCGTTACGGTGCATCTCGCACTAGAAGTTATTTAGATGAGTCATTGTGCCTAGAGGATTTGTATTGTGTATACATTTATATTAAGGTTTTACCTAATTCATTTACAAAAAATTTCATCTTTTACTTGAAATTTTTTAAATTAAAATTTTTAAGATAAAAAAATTCTTCAAATGAATACTTTTTTCTATTCTCGTGATAAAAAGTTTGAAAATAAATAATAAAATTTTATTCTAGCTAAAAATGTATATACTCTTATAGTTAAAAATATCTCTCGATACTACATAAAATTTTTTATATTAATTATTTTAAAAAAAAAAAATTTTTGAAGTAAAAACTCCTTTAGGTGCATCGATTGATTTTTTTTAAGGATTAATTTGTCAAATTAGTCATGTTGAAACTTAAAATTAAGTCAAAAAGATTAAATAGTAAAGTAAAAATCAATAAATGTGTACATTAATCTTTTTAAAAGCTTTTAGTTACGTCAGAATTGTTACATAATTTGTCTTTTATTTCATCAAAAATAGATGAAATAAATATTTTATGTCATCTTGAATAATACCGTCCATTAAATTATATTCCATGAAATCTGTCGTGATATTAAGTCATCGCTTAATTAGAAAATCAATTGATAATCTAATTAGTGTAAAATAACAAATGTCAAATTTAAAGTTCATTCATTTTATAATGCAATAAAACTGTACAAAAATAACGACTTCATTGGTATTTTGGAAAATATCTAGAGTATCACTTCTTGCCTTCTTCTCTTTTATCCCCTGTAGGGGGCTGGAGTTGCAAAAGATGACAAAGAAGGGTTTCTAAGAGCTATTCTCATTGAAATTCATTGGCAGTCACCCTTAAAAAACTTTATTTTAGATGGGAAAGAGATGGGGGTGTTTCAAGGACAGAGCAATTTTATCGTTATTCAGAATTTTTTTTAAATATCATTTAATCCATTTTGATATATGTTGTAATAATTTTTTAGTATGTATATTTACTGGATTTTGATAATAAATAATTTTTTTCTAGGAGATAACCGACATGATATTAGGTGTGCTCACCACTTAGAAGACTTAATTTTACCACTAACCCCAATCCCCTACGGGAGTGGGGTGACATTCTAGACGATTACTGTTTTTTTATAAGAATGAGATTAAGTTTTGGATCATTTAAATTACAGATGGTAGTCATAACTTGTTATTAAGGCATTCAGATAACATATTATATATGCATAGATATATATATATATATATCACCTTTTTCCTCCTCTTTGGTGAGTGAAATCATATCCATCGTCATTATCGTTACATTTTTGTTTTTTTTACATATACAGTGCTCAGTGCTCATGCTAGCGTGTTTGACTCTCTTCAAAAATAATTGCATGTTGGTGCTTTCAGTGCAGCAAAAATTATTTAACACTTACAGAAAATACTCATTAAGCATATAATTTAAATATATTTATGCTCACTAGAATATTGTAGCAATGAAAAACTAATCTACTGAGAGTAATAAAGGGTAAAAAAGATGCCCATAAATAAAGATATTTTTAATCATCATTTTCACCAATTAATCAATTTAGATTATGATATAAATTAAAAGATTACTGTAACATCATAAAAAAAAAAACGTAGATTGATTTACTTAATAAAGCCAACAATTTACGATAGCTGATACTTACTGTTCACGTTCCTCCAATGAGACGACGCGTTTACTGTCTGTTTTTCGTTTAGTATGTCCAAATTACAAAGCAGAACAGAAACAAATAAAATGCTGTTAGTGATTATGGTTAAAAATTAAGTGGACTCGATATCATTTTTTAATAATATTTTTATTTTTTTTCTGTTAAAAATGATGTAATGAAAAAAATAAAAATAAATCAAATTAAAAATATCGCAGTCCACATGAATGCCAATTATTTTTAGATTAATTTAATTTGTATCTAGCAATCATGAAAAAAAATTTTCATCTATATTGAAACAATTTATTATATTAAATTGTTAAAAAAATAATAAATTAAATATGAAAGAATTTATTGCCTGATGCATGCCTTCTTTTTTTTTGTAATTATTAGAATATATATATATATATATATGTAAAATGATTGTACCTAAAATGTAATTTTACTATGAGTGTATATATTGCATTATCACTTTGATAAATACTATCCTAGATTTATAACTGTTATTTATAATAAACGCAAACATGCATGATGAATAAAGTAATATTATCGGCCAGCAGCATGCAATATGTAGTAATTAATGAATTGATTGAAATTTATTAGTTTATATTATTAATATATCTGATAAATATAGTATAAAAAATAGTTCCTTTCATTCAAGATTATTAAATCCATGTTGTAGATATTTAAAACTAATTGAGAAATAGTTTTTAATATCTCTCTCGATTGAGACTACTTGTTGATGGGCAATGACAATCATATAATGGTTGTGTATGATTGTAATAAATTATAAAGATTTATATTATTATGAATCGCGTGAAAATTCATTCGCTGAAATGCATGCAATTTGTATGATTCATGATTGAATTAAAGACATTCTAGAGATAATAATAATAAATGACTTACATTTCGATTGCATTTGTTTTCGACGACATATCAGATAGATTATGACGCAGCATACTATGATGACAAGAAGAACAATCACCACGACGATTATTATGATGATAAGAAGATCTCCTTCGAGTTGCAGCCACCAAGGAAGGTTGCCTAAAATTAAATGAATAAAATAAGTCTAGGCTTACTTTATGCCCTGACGACAAAATTCCTATTCATTGAAATCCGTCATTTGGTCATTTTTTATTTTCAATTGTTTATTACAAATTTTATTTTTATTTTTGTTCATTCTAGTGGAAATTATTGAAATTTATTCATCATTTAAATCTTACCCGAATGTCCTTGGCGAGCTACAAGAAGAATTTAATTACATTTAAGTTTATAAGAGGAATGTAGAATTTATTTTGTTGATTGATTTTAGAATATATATGAGGTAAATTAGTATACTTTTGCTGTTGAATTGATCTCACCTGGGACTCCGCGTTCACATGGAAGTGATGATCCAATCGAGTTGTTTGCAATACAGATATAAGTACGAAAGTTTGTGATTGCTGGATCGAGTAGTAGGAAACTTTTACCATCGCGAAATTCAGCAAGTTGACCTAGGGAATCATTGTCACTTTTCAAAGACCAACTGAAGTTTGCTTCCTTTGGGTTACCCACCGCTGAGCAGACAAGATAATCGTCACCATTTATCCGTTCTTTAGATATCAGACACTCGGGTTTATCTGAAAGAAAAATAAAACTCAACAATAAATTATTAAATTACTTTTAATTTATAAACTTCTTTAGATATATTAGGTAAACATATTAAAACTCATACATAAAACGTTAAGATACGTTGAAATATTTTGATTCCCATGACGATTTGTTGCTTCACAAACATATGTTCCATTACTACGTTTTGGTACTTTAGTTTCAAAGACGAGAACCGCACTCTGGGAAATTGTTTCTGTTGAACCATCTCGATACCATCGAAATGTTGGTTCAGGGTGAGCTACAGCACCGCATTTAACACTCTCAGGTATAGAGTCAACAACAACATCAATTATTTTTTTTGATATTGTCATATTTTCTGGAGGAACTAAAACAAAAAATGATAATATAAATATTTTTTGCTTTTAAAAAATTATTATGATGGATTATTTTATATTAAAATAATTACGCAAACTTTTTTTAGAAAAGTTGATAAATTTCATAAATTTGATATTTTAGATGTTATGAACAATACTTCCATATTGATTGAAAATATACCTGTGTTAATTATTACAAATCCGTACAAGTACAAGTTAAAAATCAATATTAATTATTAAACTAAAGTACGTGTATAGAATAATAATTGTAAATTTATCTCCCGTTTTAGCATCATTATCATAGCTTACAGATAAAAGTTGGAATAAAAACTTTCTACATTTAAAAATGAACAATAGAAAAATTTACTCACACTCTACTTGAAAATAGGTAGTACTTTTAACTCCATCTCCAACATCATTCTCACTGCTTACACATGTATAATTGTCATTATCTTTAAATCGATCAAGCTCTCTATTAGGCCAAGCATCTAAATTCCACGTGAGATTGGATTGGACACTTTCAAAGTCGCTAGTGCTCTGGTCAGCTGGATGGTAGACATTGGTCACGTAATACCTATCCGTTGCTGTGAAATTAATTGGTGCATTGTTCTTGATCCACGACACGTTGCAGATGGGTGAACACTCAACCCGACATCCGATACTGACGTTTACCGCATTGTACACGTAACCATGATAGGGTGGCAGTGGATGAATAAAAGCAGGTGGAGCTATGAGATGTTCCCAGAAAAAAAAGAGTTAACAATTGAAAACAATAGATAATTTTGTTTATTTTATTTTATCGATGATATTTAATATGAAATACCTGCAACATCGATGAATGTTGTGGCTGGATCACCATCACCAGCTTCATTAAATGCTATGCATGTAAAATTGGCCCTAGTCCTCAAATTCACTGAGTCGATAGTCAGAGTGGAATTTTCCTGATCAGCAAGACGATGCATTCCACGTATCCACTTATAGCCAGCAATTGGCGGTCGGCCTGGATCAATAACCGAACAGGTGATATTGAGTGAGTTACCTTTAATGACTCTCTTAGGTTGATAACTGATGATTGCTGGTCCTGGTTTATCTAAAGATCATAAAAATTCGATAATTAACTCAAATGATAAAGTAATCAACCTAAGAAAATAAATGTGACAAATGGACCGTACAGTAAACGACAACTGGAGTACTTGATGAAATTGGACCCCACCCAGCATCATTTCTACCCTCGCACGAATAATTTCCATGAAACGAGCGACCTACTGCTTCCAGTAGTAATTTGCTTGGATCAATGTCGCAGAACGTTGAAGTGTCATCCACATTTGTAGGTGTAGAATTTCGGGCACAGTCTGGTAACTCCTTCAGTAAGTCACCGTCCAAGTACCACCTAACAGCATTCAAATTCATAGGATTTCCGCTAACTACATCGCACGTTAACGACACATTCAACCGATCAGCCTCGTTGACTGGCACATCAGGATCAACAATCACCGCCACTGTTGGTTTATCTGTTGTACATACATAATAACAATTATTATTATTTAAATTATTCAAAAAATTAATCCATCATGTTGACCAACATGGAACACTAAAAGTACTCACATAAAACTGACACTTGGACAAAATCTTTGGGTGTTGACTCACTGACGTTATTACTAAGTATACATGTGTATGTACCCATGTCTGAAGCGCTTGCATTTTTTACTGTCAACGATGTCTGTTCTGTAATGCCACCCTCATAGTGATCCTCACTAAGCGTCAACTCTTTTCCATCTCGCAACCTTTTTTTTTTTTTATTAACAAATCGAATTCATCTATATAATTACTGTTTCATCATCTAGATATTTAAATGTTGAAAGTGTATATGTTGAATGAATTTAATAAACAATATGATAAATAAAGCAAATAAATTATGCAGTTACTCCTTTGTTTAAAAAGCTTTTTATGCTATATAATATAAAGTGACATTTAGACATCAAAATAATACTAACATGTATATTCACATAACTAGCAAGTCTAAAAATAAAAAGACAAATATGAATGTCATATTTGAAAACTGCATAAATTTTTCCTTTAAATTAAAATCTAAATTGAGTATGAGTAGTTGCGATAAAGAAAAAACAGGATTTACAAATAATGAAAGTAGAAGAAAAATATGTATACCATTTAACAGATGTTAATCCCGCAGGGTTGGCTTCATAATTACAAATAATAACAAAGTCTTCAGTTTCGTTGACTGTTATATTAGAAGGCCACATAGAAATTATTGGAGCATCTACAAAACAGAAAAAAAGTAAATAATTAACAAACAATTGTTAATTAAATATATAGACGTTAGAGAAAAGTTTAAATGAGTTTGTGAAAATGAAACAGTTGAGTGTGTTTACGTTGAAGAAGGATTACTCTATTTGAGTATATTGAACTTGTAAATATTATAATACTTGATATAACTAGACTATGTCTGCCTTTACATACAGATGTATATGCTTGACACGCGAGGAAACTTTGTCAATTTCACCATGCATCTTTAGGAGTTATATGCACAAGCAGTGTCGATATTAGGCTGTGGTTTCATGCATAATAAGCAGAGCTAGCAAATGTGACACAATTCTCATATGGAAAACGTGCAATATCTGCTTCTTAATCTCTTGATTTGATTTATTTTTATATACGTGAGTGAAATATAATATTTTTTATGTTCAGAATTATTTTGAAAAATAATATAAAAATGATCTCAAACATCCATGGACCATTAATAAGTCGTATATACCATTTGATGTTCTCGATAGTCCAGTCGATATTGGAAGCTTCATGGTCCAATAAGAATGGTTTTTTCGGAATCTCCGTGTAATTTTACATAAAAGAATCTTTGGTCCATAATGGGAGGTTTGATTTTATTTTTTATTGTATTATTATTTCATGCGATATTATTGATTAAAGACATCAAATTGCTTATTGATGGCCCATGAATTATAAATTTAATTAGGAAACTTACAATAAACTTCGATTGTCGTTGCCACTTTCATTGGTTTCACTCCTTCTGTTCGTGTCACTGAATTTTCTGCTAGACAGCTAAATGTTTGACCATTATCGTACTCTGAGGCAGTAAAAGCTAGATGACTGGTTGTCTCAGATGTCCCATCACTCTGAAAAATGTTCATAAGATTTTAGCTTTACTTACTCCATTTTTTTTATTACTTTATAATATTTATATAAATAATGATGATTAAATATAATTGAAAATAGTATAGCAACTATTGAAAAAAATAAAATTATTTCCTGGACTTAATTTCATTCTGTGAATCACCAAGAGAATTCCTAAAATATTATGACCTAATTCCTTGCATATTGGCTAACAGCATCATTCCAAATTGTTATTGTTAGTGAAACGTATGTAGAAACCACAAACGCTGTGCTCTTGTAACTATGGGAAATTTCCACTTAGTCGTTTATATAATTGTTCCACTATTATACAAAGATAACAAGTGATAGTCTAGATGTAAATTATTATTATTTAATATCGAACCACTTTAATCCATAATCTTTTAAATTCCTTTCAATAATTGAGTTTGTAATGCATATTAAATAAATTAATTTATGCATTATTGAAAATACCTTCTCTTCGAATTTAATATAATGAAAAAAATAACTGTAATATAAATAACATAAAAATGTATACAACTGTCAAAGTTTCTTGCCAGTAAAGACGATAAACCTAAAATTTATCTCCCAAGGTTTTTTTTCGGTTACATATACTTTACTGCTCTTCTAGATCTTACTCATATCAAATGTTTCCTCGCACATTCTTAATAACTTGATGTTTTCCTACAAAATAAAAGTTACGATACGAAAAAAGCTTCACTTTATATTAAAAATATATATACAAGTACATAAGATGTGCGAAAATTTTTTAACTTCACTCAACTTTTCAGTATTAACTTGTTAAAGTTTAATTTTTTTCGGTCGTAATTTTATTAATGTTTTCCACTGGCAGTCGTGAAATAAAAACCTTCTATAATAGAAAGCAGTAAAAAAATTTTTTATGCTGCTATCAATGAGAAATTTAATTTTATATCCAATAGTAATTAGAAAAGAACATTCCAAATGACTTTTTGATTTAACTAGATATTGTTCTCTCTGGAGTGAAGAAGAAAGAATGATTTGTCATAACATTACAATATCCTTTCAATTAAAGGCATTTTCTGGAAATAATTGCTTCAATTTTCCCTTCTTCGTTTTTATCTCTCTGTTATATTTTATTTGACTCGATAAAGTGATATAATGTCTTTATTTATATGACATTAGCTACAGCATAACAATGGGAAGGACTTATGATTGGTATTGAACCAATAATTTTGAAAGTGCAGATGAGAGAATTGAAGAGAGTGAATATATAGAATGTATTCACGTATTTGTGGCAAGATCGATGGAGCATCATGAATTCACTCGTATATTTCGGCCGTGCAATAGGATTTCAATCTTCTTTCTGTCGTAGGACATCAGTTGTGGTCAGGTGTATCTCGTATCTCTGTTCCACTATTAGTTAGTGCTTTAACGAGTCGATAATCAGAAAATTCTCAGTATAGTAAACTGTGCTATCGTGAGCATTGTAGTGCAAGAGATGGAAAGAGCTACATGATGATAAAGGATAACAGCGAGAGAGAGTAAGAGGGGAATATTTAGCTGATTGGCTGGCTCACTTGCACTCCAATCTGGCTGATCGTCGTTTAATTAGACACTTGACAAACAAAGCGAATTATCAACAGCAACGGAACATGACAAATAATAGCAATAGAAATCCACATAATCCTGGAATAATGTTCATATATAATGTATGTATGTTTAAATATTAAAATAATAACCTAACTTTCTGGTAATGTAGATATAAACGAAATAAATTGGTTAAATATTGATTGATTTATATATCAACTTACATTGTCTACTATTTTAGTTTCAAACATTTCAAAACGTTCATTATCATCTGTGAGAAAATTCGTTCCGTTGTACCATGTGACGTTGGCTGGAGGTCTAGCTGCACTCACTTTGCATTCGAGTAAAATTTTCGTCCCACTCACTACATGTCCAACCACTCCTTCAACATCCATTTTTAAAGGTCTTACTGAAAATAAAAACATTTTTACATTTTTACTATAATTATGATGATATTTTAAAACATTATTATGATACATCATGGCAAATCCAAGTTTATTATTCTTGTAGACACTTTTCCGTGCCTAACCTGTCCAATGTTAAATACCGTAAACAAACTAAAAAATTTCCACACACTTTGAAGTGAGTAAAAAATGCTTACACAACATGTATAGTTTATTTCTAGACACTTTACATTGAATACATTTTATGGTTATTATTTTAATACGTTTATGAAATCTTGGGATTTACATCAATTTATCCTGTTTATATTCTGAAAATAATAGCAAAGTATGATGATTAAAACGAGTAAACGTCTTGATAAAGATTAACGATTTTATTAAGCACTAATGGATTCAGAATACGTGAGATACTAGTGGTGATTAATGAATTCTAACTATAAAAAACAGATTTCTATTATCTTTTAAGAATTGTTTGGTGAAATCTTTAAATACTTGTATAAGAAGAAATTCAAATAGTTGTTTTGTCTTTATTTTTTTCCTTTATTAGACTATTAAAGATAAGCGTTAAAGAAATAACATTTAGAAACGTGTAATGCTAGTTGAAATTGTAAAGAAATGGCTTTCTGCTAAACTACATGATAAGAGAAAGGAAAAAAAATAAAGAGAAATAAAAGAAAAAAAGACATAGTTGGCAGAGGAAAAAAATACTGTAAGTTAGTAAAATCGGTATTATTACATCTCTTGAGATTTTTTGAAAACTTGAGACGTGCATTTCTTCAATGGATTTTTCCCTGGAGGCAGAGTAGCTACTTTAATATTCTAGACACGGACAAAACATTTCATATATTTCGCATTATCGCTTAACGAGAGTAAAAGCTTTGCGCTTACATACAGATATTTTTCATTTTTCTTTTTCATCTTTTACTGTATCCATCACGTAGATACTCTGACATTTTTACTACTGACAGACATTTCTATTGCACGGAAATTAAATTTCCTTCTGAAAAATTAAATTTTTTACGTAAATGCTCATATTATCTTTATTCCGATGCTATTTGTCTGCCAATTGTAATTATATTAGGATAACGTGTCTCCAAAAAAAAAGTTATTTAACTTGCAGATGAGTACACAGGTACACCATCAAATTATAATGTAATTAAATTGTTGCTGGTGTTTTTTTTTGTTTGTTAATATAATTATTTACATTTTTTCTAGGTACATAGTCTGAGATTTTTCATGTGCTCACCATGAACATCAACTTTTATGTCAACTGTTAGAGGCTCAGCAAGTGCAGAACTGCTAACTTTGCAGGTGAATGTAGCTCCTAATTCGCTGCGGCCAACTTGCAATTGTAGCACACTGCTTCCTGTACCAATTCCGTTTTCTCCAACTTTATTTGACCCAATTGCTGTAATAAAATTTAATACATTATAAATATTCAATACTTTTTAACTTTAACTATACAAATAACACTCTAGCTGTTTACCAACTGCTATCTTCATCCAAATAGCACCAAGTTTCTGTTCAATTTAAACAATTTCTCAGCAATAATTACTCAGGCTGAATTTTCTCTTGATCATGATTTTTTATAGTAAAAATGTCTTTAACTAAATATATATAACTCGTTTTAAATTGATATTGTCTTAAAATTACTCAACAATGATGATAATGAAGTTGATTAACTCAAATCACGGGCTATTCGGAAAATATTGTGATTCTTTTTTATCCAATCATCATACAATTTATTAAATACAATGGAGTAAAGTAGAGAGATACACAAATACAAGAGTCAGCTGTTTAAGAACTTGTGTCAATTTTGGAAAACCAAAGGATTTAGATAGAATTGAGACAGTGGTTGGAGCAATGAAAGAACCAACTCAAAAGCAAATAACATTGAGAGAAGCATTCAGTTTTCTTCTATTTTTTTTTCGTGGTCTCGTGACAATTCTATCCAAGTCTAGATTCCACTGCTTGGGATTTATTCTAACAGACAGAGAATGTTTTCAGCTATCTGCGGATTTTCCTACCAGTGTATCTATCTTAACATAGGATGAATGAACATTGTATTATTATTTTCATGTGATATATAAATTTACAGTGAAATATGATACACTACTCATGACATCTAATCATAAATTTTTCCATGTCTTATTTTATTTAAACTATTTATTTAACTTGATATTTATAGCTCAATTTTTACCCATTGTGTTTTGTATCATTTAAAAAAATATACACTGAGACAATTTAACTTTGTCTATGTATAAAAGCAGAAGTTAATACATTTGGAATAATTCTCATTCAATCTTACGCGAAAGAAATAAAGCGTTTCTGAAATTCACGAGTACTTTTAAGTTTGTTACGAATTGGCTCTCAGAAAGCCAGCCAACTCGACATAAATTTCTTACATCTGCTTCGCTCGTGAAGTTTCTTCGTTAGATAGGAAGCGTCAAGCTATGTAGTAAAGAAATTTTTTCTTTTTATGAATAAATTTCTGATTAGATTTATAACTTTATTTATAACCTTCTTCTCTTTTTTTTTTTTGATAGTAAGTAGTCTAGCTATTTTGTTTTAGAACTTGTTTGAATAATAATTGATTGTAAGTTTAAGTGTATGATAATTGAAGAGTACTTTGTTCATTATGTTTTGATAAACTGCTTATAAGATCTTTACTATGTTGGAATGGTATATTTAACCATCAATTCAGAGACTTACATTCAAGTGAGTAAAATTTTAATGGTTTAATTTCGTCGAAACTTTGTGAATAATAACGATGATGTAGTGATATCATTAAAAATACTTGATAGTTGAAAATCAAGAAGAAAGAAAGTTCTACAAGTTTTAGTGAAATGGAGATAATTAGTTGAGTTTATTTGGAATATTTTTTATAAAAAAAGAACATTTCGGGTACAATGAACAATTTATTAGATATTATGAAGTTTTCTATTCTATGCAATCTTCCTATCAAATTATAACATACAAAAGACCAAAGGAATAATGTAAGAAGGTTTAAATGATGTCTGATTTAAATGCAATAATTATTGTAATAATAGTTGAATCGTAATGAATAGAATAATGGTAGGACTTACCTTTAAGTCGTTGGGTGTCTTTATACCATTCTACTAGAGGTATTGGCTTTCCTTCGTCGCTTTCACAATTCAAAGTTATTAACGAGCCTTCGTTAAAGGGACCTAAAACTGTGCCTGATGTTAAATTTATATTTCCATCTTCGTCAGTAACTCGAATGAACTTGGGACGAACTGAAAGAATAAGGATTATGCATAAGTGAAAGACCAAAAAAATTTTATAGTTTCTGATCAAATGAAAATGGCTTTTTTCCTTGTAGTTCTAGAATGTATTGGAGGGAAAAAAAGATTAAAGTGTGAATTGATAGAATAAAGTTTTTGAAAATTACGAATTCAAGTTCTGAATACGAATAAACTTTTCAATAAGTATAACTTTTTTACATTTGCAGTTTAGAAGATGACTCGAGTACTGATTTCATTTTTATAAATGCCATTTTATTTTTAGTTGTGCATTGAGAAGGAAATTTATTGTGAATAGGTAATATTTTTTTTTTTTTTAAAAAATCAAAATTTTAAATAATCGTAATCAATTTAAGAATCAATCTGCGAACAGTTGCCAATTGTTTCTAAATTCTAAAGGTTGACTAGCTCTGCTGTGCATTATTTCGCATAAATAATCATTCTAAATTATCTATCATAATAATTATAATTGCTCTGTTCATTTACCATTGTAGCATCAAAAACTTATGTCTGGCTTTTACATTCCGTATCTCCTACTCCGTCTGCTGTTAGTTCCAGAGACATAATTCAAAGAGGGTAGTTAACCCTTTGATGAGGGTAATTTTTTAAAATTCAATAAATAAAAAATAGAAATAGTAGACTAATTGTTGATAATAATTTTTAGAAAATTTTTGAGTGTGAAAAGTAAAAGATAAAACTGCATTTGTCATATCATAAGAGTGAATTTAAAATAAGGATGAAGGAGAAGCAGCAATGGTTTGTGGTGGACTTTTTCCACTTACTGGTTTCTATTCTTCGACTTGCATTTGCTTTCATGAGATATTCCAAGTAAAAACGAGCTTTTGAGTATGAAGAACGAATTAGAGTTGAACATTAGAACAGAGTGTTGGGTTTCCCGAGGGTGCGTGAAATTAAATTCCCCGCTTTTCTAAGTTCTCTATTTCCGTAGCTTTCTACATCAAGTGTTGGAGATATTGTCGTCGGAATTGATGACAACTTTCATCAACATACTCCATAATTTATAAATAATTAAAAACAGTAAATTTTAAAAAATAAATTATGTCTTACACAAATTAAAATTTGATTACTTTTTAATTAACTCAAGACCATTTTAATTGTGAATAGCATATCAAAAATATGCAAGAAATTTAATAATAACTCGTGATTCAGTGAGAAAATTGGAAAGCTGGAATTTATCAACCGGTAACAAGATAACAATATCAAATAAGAAAAGGAAAAAAAGGTATAAATCGAGACCCAATCAGCAGTGCACTTCTCAACTTATTTAATTTAAACATTTAGATAAAGATACAGTGGGCTATATGATGATGGAAAGGCGTGGAAAGCCATCAGTTTGACGCAACCGCACCGGAGTTTATATATTTCCTCTGGAGTATAACTTAAACAATCGATAGTACCATCTCCGATAAAATTCATCGTATAACTGCCACCGCAAACTTTGTTTAGCGAAATATATAACCACAGTTTCCAACTATGTCGAGTTATCTTCTACATACGAACAATTCACTACGATTTCTAGAATTATTAGCACATTGATCGGCATACATATATCAGATAACCAATATATGTGTACATATATTTTAAATGCTAGAAATACTATTATTATTCTTGGACAAACGGTTAACTAATATCAGTTGACGTAATAATTAGATAATTAATGGTAGCCATTTGTTCTACTCGATAAAATAGGATTAAATATTACTCACCAGTAGTATTCAGTGTAATGTGCTGAACATTATTGCACTCGCGATTGACTGCTAGATACGTAGCTTCACATTTATATAAACCCTCATCTTCGAGCTTAATATCGGAAATTCTGAGAAACGTTTTTGTTGCATTTGCATCGTAATCCATTGTTGATCTGTAAAGTCGATTAAATAAATCCTCATGTTCTTTGTAATGAAAAAAATGTCTATACTAACCTAGCAGCTATTTCGTTATTCCCACGAGTAATACCAGCACTTTCGCTGAATATAAAAATTCTTTGAGTACCTCGATACCATTTTATACTGTGGAGTCCACCACATCGAGGACTTTTCAGAATACAAGGTAACTGCACTTCTGATCCTTGTTCGGCACTTTTTTCGCTTTTTTTCCATGGCTCAATTACACCTGCAAGCAAAAAAAAAACAACAATGTAATTGGCTTTGATTTATTAGGTATAAATGTTTTTAATTATTATTATACTTTAAATGTTTATTTTTTATCAGTCAGGATGGTTCGTAATTATAAATGAAAAAAAATTCACACTTATAATGTACCTATAACCTCCAAAAATTTTTTTTTCAAGTGAACGACATTTATGTCACGTAGTGTATAGTTTGTTTACAGATATTTTGCATTAAACAAACTTCATGCGTGTTATTTAAGCTGTTGAGGTTAGTAAATAAGGTAATTAAAAATTATAGTCACTAGAACTAGAGTGTAAACAGTCCGTTTGCTAACAGTCTCTCGTCCAGTTCGTGTGTGACAATAAATTGCGTCTTGATTAAAACTCGTGTAGTCTTCTTTCATCACCTAAACTTAACATTAACATGTTTGTGCAATCTTTGAATCTGGAGTGATTTATAAATTAATTTTAGAACGTTGAAGATGATAAAGCTCATAGCTGTGAACGTTGTAAGATGGGAATTTTAGGTAATTCATTATTGTTCTTAATTATCAAATAATTAAGCAATTCAACCTATGAATCAAGTTGATTATATCAACTTTTATCACAAATGTTACTCTTTAAGTTAAATTGATTTTGATAGATAATTGCATTTTATATTCTTTTTTTTTTGCAAATAACTATTATTTGTAATAATAATTCGGAATGCATATCAACGTTTGTAGCTGTCAAATTTTGAACTGTTCCATTTATACTTCATGCATAACATGAAATCTTTTTATCTATTTAATTGATATTTATACACGTATACGTGATATACATGATGCAGATATCAATATAACAGAATACGGATAACTATCATCATTTAGTCCATGTGTATGTATAGACAATCTCATTTATCCAATCACTAGTGATATAATTTGATGGATAAGTGGTAGTAGATAGTTGTTTCATTTCGATTTCGTTTAATTGCTATGTTTACATTTATCATTTGAACCATCACTAATACTCTGAATCATGATTTGTTGCGTACGCAGAATTTATTGATCGTTTTTCAGTACCTTTTCTGCATTAAAATTTTGATACTGTTATCTGTAAATCAACTCCTCTCCTATTATTACAATTCTTCAATTGTTTTTTTTTATTTTAAAATATTGCAATGCATAATAATTGTTATTATTATTATAATCAGTATATAATTCGATTTCAGTATCAACAAATATTTTGACTGAATAATTGTTATTATTATTGTAATTCAATCATTCCATTTATAATAATATTATAATATATTATTAGAGCAAGTGATGGAGTCTGTTATATTATTAGAATTTGCGATCAATGAAAATTAATAAATATATAATTAATTTCATATGGTATAGGCAAAGATTTGAGTTCACAAGTCTTTGTTTACATATCGAATTGAGGTGATGTATTCTCTTTGCTCTACGTTTGCTTTGGCGGAAATTGATCGTACAATTCTACTCACAACTTAAATTAAGTTGCATCATATATTGAACTTGCTTGCGAGGAACACTATAGTTAATTGTCCATCAAATACTTCTGATTAACCTGAGTCACGTATTTGTTTGTACTCGATACATTTCAATTATAAATCTTTTTTTGAAAGAAAAAATGAATAAATAAAAAATATATTATGATTTTTCCTGACAATTAATTGACAATAACGATGTTTCATATCTCATAGCAACCGTAAAAATGAAATTGAATGTAAATAAAAAATATTGCTAAACATTGTTAATGTTTACAGAAAACTTTTATTAAAATCTTACATTTCCTCACAAATTCAAAAAGCTGAATATTACCAGTAAAATACGGTAAATTAACGGTCACATACTTTTACCGTATTTTACCGTAAAAAATAAAATTGAAGGTAAATAAAAAGAATATTACTAAACATTATTAATGTTTACAGTAAACTTTCATTAGAATCTCATATTTTATTGATCAAGTCTTTGACACTTTTTTATTAAAAAGAATTTCGATAAATTATTTACTCAAGAGCAGGAAATTTATTTATAGAAAAACTTTTCATTAGATGAATTTATGTGTATATTATTTTTTTATCTTTTCTCACAATAACACACACAAGATATTGATTCTTTTTGGTTTGTTATCACAGTGTATGACGCCGAGTCTTGGCGTTTAGCCAAATTTAAAATCTCTCGTGATTAACCCACTTACTTTGTTAGGTAATAACAGTATACTATGTTCAAGAAAAACATTACCATTCGTGATATCCAATTCGTGTAAGTTCGATTCAGTATGTTGCTATTTAATTAATTGCATCAAAAGCATTCACATAAATATTATCATCAATATTTGATATTTAATATTTATACTGCTAAGCTGCTTTCAAAGTTTATATTTTAAAAATAATGCCAAAATATTGGACATATTTGATATATTTATTTAATATCATTGATTGTGGTTTAATGTAAACCAAGAAATAATGTTTATGTTTTTTTTATCAATAAAATGTTCATTGCATAAATATTTTAGTATATAACCAAAAGTTATTATACAGTGACAAAAATAGAAAATATACATCAAAAATTTTTCGGAGCTTTTTAACTCCATTGGGTATCATATATGATACTCTAGTATGGTAGTTTCGAATTCTAACATCGAGTTCATAAACTCTGAGATTACGCGACAGCCTTTGCATTATAAAAAACTTTTTAAAATTTACCAGAGTTCAAGTTTCATAGAATAATCCAATAGATTGCCATTTGTTGTACTCTTTGTGTTTTTATGCAAAAAGTAAATTACATTAAAAATAGCAAGAAGTAATTTTCAACAAAGCGTTTTATTACGTTACATTATATTGTTTTCTAAACTTGAAATTAAACAAAACTCGTTACATTTTCTTTTTAAAGACTCTAATGATGTTTAAAGTGAAATGTAAAGTAAGTTATTTCTGCTAAGAATAAATTCTTTTAGGGTAAGACAATTGGAAATAATTTCTGTAAATTTTTATCTCCATTTTATTTATTTTATTGAGTACCTTTATAGAGAATTGTTTATTCTAGGTATAAAAGAATATGATTGATCTAGATTCTCATTTGATTATTAAATATTAAAAACTATGAAATTATATTGAGTAGTTAGAATGTAAAAATCATCATATAGAATTTATTCGACTTCATATGAATATTTTTTCATTTATTTAGTAACTCGATTTTTTGACCTATCAATCATTTAAAAAAATATCAAATCAAAGAGAATTGACTTTTTGTTTTTTCAAATGTTCTCAGTGGTGGTTTGTATTTTAATTACACTTTTAATCAATTTTTAAAAAATATTTCATGTACAATTTATTATCATCAAACAAACGAGACTTTTATAATCAATTTATTTTTTTTGTTTTCAACCAGTTGGTTGAGTAACTCAAATTTTTTTTATATAACTCGCAATGCCACAGAATATTCACAGAGATCATCTTCAACTATTTTTATACACTTAAGGAATACCGCAAGATTAAAATGATTGGCCCTACATCTATTGATAATGATGATAATCTTTTTATTGATGGTTACTTAAAATAATAAAAGCATAATTGATTAAAAATATAAACAACCTAGACTTTTATAATCAATTGAAAAAAAGACTTTTTGATTTACAATTACAATAAAATTCGATTGTCATGTGAGTATTCAATAAAAATGAGATATTTTTTTCCGTTAATCAGTTAGCAAAGGTGATGTCGTGTCAAGCCAGATGTTGCGAAGCCACATAGATGAAAAGTCATTCAAACCCGGTTGTTGAGAAATAATAATTCGAATAATGCAAAGACAACTAGACTTATTAGTTTATTTTACATTATAAAATTCCATCATGTAAAATAATTTTTATTTTTTTTTACAATGTTTTTAATGCATCATAAAAAATACAGGAACCATTAAAGTTATTTTTATTTCATAGAAATTAATAATATAAATGTCAACATCCTTTATTCGATGGATCCATGTTGACTTTGCCTCTTTTATAGAAAAATTTATTATTAAGTTGAAACAGTAAAAAGTAGACTGTAGACTATTAATAAAGGCTTTGACGTTGATTACATTAATATTGTCTAACATTTAGTTAATAAGTTAATCAGGATGCAATAAAGTAACGTAGTTTTATAGCGATAATTATGACACCATTCACTAATATGACTTGAGAGTTTTTAATACGCAATTTTATAGACGATAAAAGTTTCAAATGGTAAAATAGTCGAATGAACAGTTACATTTAGTATTCACTGCGATGACCAATTTAGGGTATTCAGGTTGGATTCTAGACGATCCATCCCTTAATTACTTTTTCCTCTAACTTTGCTTGGCGAGCGTGACCAACATGAAATGGCATTGCAACTCTTCTGAGAACGTAGAGTCAAATCCTTTCAAGAGGAAATCGATAATACCAATAAAAAAAGTAAAAAAGAAATAGCAAAAAAAATAAAAAGTACTACAAGTAAATGGAAGAGTTGGTATGAGTGCAGATCACTTGTCTCAACTTTTCTCTCTACTAAATACTATTTTTTTTTTGTTGCTAAGAAATGAATTATTATTATTATTTATGAAACTTTCTATGATCTAATTGATTTTATTATTGAATATAAAAAGTATTAATTTAAAACACAGATATGTTTTTGTTGTATTGGGGTATATGTAGAAGTGTAAATGGTCATCTAAAGTGCTACTATAATTACGAGTTTTATCGAACATCATTACCCCCAAGCGATTGCAGCAATTTACATGGCTGGATGCATGACGCGGATACTCGATAGCCTTAGGATCATACAACAGAGAATTCCAGTACTTGCTTCAGTGTAGAAATTATTCTCGTTACAATTTACTGCACGTAGCTATTTGATTTTCAGTAAAAATCTTATTTAACATTGCTATGGTGAATAATAATACTGGAATATGTTCGAGTGTATGCATTATTACTAGCAAAAAGTAAATTTTGCAACATTGATTCATAAATAGCTAAAAAT